CGTGCCAGATTGGAGATTCCTGTATTATAGGCAGAACATAATCAAGTAGTTAGCTTGAACTCTGCATGTGTGGTGGTGGTTCTTTCCTGACAGTATTAATCATTTCATCTATATATAAACAGTTGGGGAAATTTCAAAAGTTTTTGCTAAAAACATTGCTGCCATTTGATTGTCAGATAATTGATAAAGGTTTTTATTGTACAGAAAGTTTATCTGTACATATAGAAATAAATACTGAGGAATGTATGCAAACTGCAAAAATTAAGGCTTTTTTGTATGTGTCTTGGCATAGAAAGGCATTTTCCATTCTGATTTGTCTTTGTGTTGCAGAAGAAGAGAGTTGAACTTTACAACTAGGCATTAGGGTCAACAGCATCTTGAAGGTCATTCAACTTTTATTCTTCAAGGATGGATCAGAGCTGAATCTTCAACTTGTTTGGCTAGACCTTAAAAAATAAAAATAATATCTTGATAAATGTGTTCTTTTGTCTTATTACTACATGGAAGTATTGATGGATTTAGTAATACATCTAATACATCTTGGGAAAAATTATTTGCAATTAAATTAAGTTTGTGATTAATGCCTTCCATTTGAAAGCTTATATACAACAAAATAATCTATTATATTTCCCAAAAGTATTCAAATTTATACCACAGATGTTGAATTATTATGATAATGCCTTAAAAATAATTGCTCTGAAATCTTATGAATGCTAAATAATGAGGGACAACATTTTTGATAGCATTAGTGCCAAAATAATTTCATGAGAAATAATACTTAACTCTTTATGATGCCTTTCTTCAATGGGATAAATTACTTCCATTGGAGCAAGTGTGGATGTGTGTATATCCTTTTTTTTTTTTTGTAAAAAAATTTATTTTCAACTTTACAATACATAACAATCTTACAAATACTTCAGATAAAAAATAAAACAAATTGATACACACCACATTTGGTCTTGCCCGCCCATTTCCCCCCAAACCACATCCCACCTCAAATCAACTTACTTCTTTCCCTCTTTTTCTTCACTTACCCCCTCTCCTCCTTCACCTCAACCTTCCTACGTACTTCTCACCTTCTTCTCCTCCCTCTTGATGCGGTCCAGGGGAAATGCCCGAGCAGTTCCTCTCTCAAAATTAAAACATTAATTTTTTCAACCCCATCCACCCCCCTCCCCCCCCGACTTCCCAGAGCAAAATACAGGATTATGCAAACATATTAAACATAATCTATTTAAATTTACTAATTATACAATGAACAAAATCATAAAAACCCTTAATTCTCTTCAAACTTTGACATCATAAGTTTATAAACAAAATCATTACTCATAGAATAAGTGAAACTTTGTAGTTCCATATTTCTTCTGAACATATTCTATCCATCTTCTCCATACATTAAAATATCTCTCCTTTAAATAAGCAGAAATTTTAGCCATTTCTGCTAAATTAGAAACCTTAAATACCCATTCTTCTAAAGAAGGCAGAGTATCCTTCCAATATTGACCCACCAGTAATCTTGCTGCTGTTATTAAATTCAACATTAACTTTAACATTAAAGTCCACAAAAATTCCCAAAAGAAACAGTTGGGGAGTAAACTTAATCTTCCTTTTAAAAACCTTTTGAATGTTCCACCAAATCATAATCCAGAAGGCTTTAATAACTTTACAGGTCCACCAAACATGAAAATAGGTTGCATCGAAGCAACCACATCTCCAACATTTAGGTTGCAGGTTCAGGTACATACAAGACAACTTTTTAGGATCCAAATGCCATCTATAAAACATTTTGTAAAAATTTTCCCTCAAATTCTGGGCCTGCGTAAATTTAACATTTCTAGTCCAAATTTCCTCCCATAAGTCCAACGAGATCGGTTCTTGAATATTCTGGGCCCATTTAATCATACAATCTTTAACTAACTCTGTTTCTGAATCCAATTTTATTAACTCATAAATTCTTTTAATATGGGCACATTTCTGATCCTTGATCTAAATTACCAAATTTTCATCTATTAAAGTAATTCCCACTTTCTTATCCAAAGTCCATCTCTGCACAATTTACAAGTATTGAAACCACGATTGTAAAATGTTTTCTTGCCTTAACACATCAGAAGACTTTAATTGCCAATCAGTACCCGACCAGATAAGTAACTCTTTATACGAAATGTTGTCAAAATTTACCCCCTTAGAAACCCCCTGGATTGCTTGTCCAGGGATCCCCCAAATAGGTATTTTATAATTTAACTTATAATAATATTTTTTCCAAACTCGAAGTAAAGCATATCTTAAAATATGTGACTTAAAGACCAAATCTACTTTCTTATCAAAAATTAAATATGCATGCCAACCATATAATAAATCCCACCCTTCAAGAACAAGAATATCTCTATTTGTTAAATTGAGCCAGTCACTTACTAAAGTTAAAGTGGCTGCATCATAATATAATTTCAAATTTGGTGCTTTAAGTCCACCTCTTTCTCGAGCATCTTGTAAAATCTTAAACTTTACCCTTGATTTCTTCTCGCCCCAAATAAATTTATTAATACCCTTCTGCCACTCGTCCAAATCAGCATCCTTCTTTAAAATGGGTATCATCTGAAACAAAAAAAGAAATTTTGGTAGAACATTCATCTTCACTACTGAAATTCTCCCCAGTAACGATAGTTGTAGCTTTTGCCAATCATTTAAATCTTTTTGAACTTTAACCCATAAGCACTCATAATTATTCTTATACAATTTTCCATTAGATGTTGTAATATAAACTCCTAAATACTTAACCTTATTAACTATTTCATAACCGGTTGTTTCAGCTATAAAATCTTTTCCCTTCCTAGACATGATGTGTGTGTATCCTTATACACATCAAGATGGATCGACAACATCATCAATTATTGCAGGCCCAATTGGCAAAAGGAAGTTCAGGACCATATTGGTTGGAAACAGGTGGAAGAGGTCTTCATCCTCCAATGTTTACACAATGGCTAAAATGATGATGATGATGACAACACTTGTCTGAAATAGTATAGGGTCTCCTGCTTGAGCTGGGGGTTGGGCTAGAATATCTGCAAGGTTTCTTCCAGCTCTATTCTAATTGATTAATACATATACATACATACATACATACATACATACATACATACATACATACATACATATGTGGGGGTGTTTCATGGAAGGATAAAAGCTGAATACATTAAACTCATGGTAACATTTTTGTCTCAATGGGGGATATAGAAAGTGACGAGTTTTTTTAAAGATAAAAAAGTAAGATAAAGAAAAGCTAAAAGTGCAAGAAAGGTAAAGTAAAAGAAAAACAACACGAAGTAGCTTTCAATCTTTGCAGTAGTTGAGTATAAACAAGTAAAATTAAAAGTTTATTTCTCACTCCCTGGTTACAACAGTTTCTTTCTATAATCTATCTCAACATCAAAATCATAAATTCATATATTTTTTTGGTTTCATATAAAAAGTCTGTAAGGATTCCAATCAGCAATAAATGTAGATGTGTCTTTTCTCTGATCATGTAAGTATTTAGCCATCAGCAAGTTCCATCACTCACCAACCATTCTTTCATTGTGAATAATGTCCATGCAATCTCACTATAATGCATGAAAACATGCTTCGTTTGTATATAGAAATGAAAGATCCTTTCACTGGAGAAACATTTTTTAAAAGTCTAAAATAGTAGAATTTAGGAAAAGATTTGCATTTTGCTTTTGCACGGGTAGACTGCAGCATTTGTTCCTTATCTCTGATGCAATTTTTATTTTATATTACTAACTAAACGTTTTTAAATAAGCATTTGTTGAATAATCCCAATAGGTTCACGTATGTGAGCCAGCACTCAGGTTTGACACAAGCCTCAAATTATTCTGAAAGATTTGAACATAGTTCCTAAAAGTACCATGGACTACAAGAGCAATCTGTTGACTTCTAGATCAAATGAAGATTAAATGGTTTGTTGAGATGGTCATCATCAAGAAGAAACTAACATGCTTTGGATATAAGAGATTAAAGAGAAAATATTTTGTGGTTGAGAGAATGAAAGTTAGTAGATATGGATAGATGGGGTCAAGCAAATTAATGGAATATCCTGAGAAGAGCTATGAATTATTTCTAGATGCATAAGGATGGCCAGTGCTTCAAGACTGCCAGTGTTTGTCCAAGCGGTTCTCAGAAATAAATGCCAGCTGGGTTGAAACTAACTCGTTGCAATCAAAGGTTTCCAGTACTTTTCATCAGGCTAAAGGTTTGGATGCTAGAAAAATAGCAAAGTAGCAACTAATATCTCAGAAAATAAAGACAGAGATGGTGATGTATTTTAGATAGGGCTCTCCTTAAGCCTGCTAGGAAGAAAAATTGATCTTTTTTTAGAAAGTATAAATTCTAGCTTTTAATTCTGTTTCCGTCCTTATGCTTTTATATAAAGTAATTTTCTATTTTCGATAACATCAATAGCCATCCAAAACACTTCTCTCCCTTAGAAAAGCAGACATGAATGTTTCAGTTAAAGGATTTATGGACTATGTGTTAGAAAAATAATTTGAGTGTTCCAATTTGGATGGCTCAAGAACAAATAAAAAAAAATGAAATCCAGACATACTGTGAGAAAGAAGATCCATTTATTCCCATTTGTTTTTGGGGGGTAGACTACAGAGAAAAAGGTTTTTATAGGAGAACTGGTCCTTGGTGTGAGCTTGTGGGGTGTGGGTTACCTATGTGCTTTTTCTAGTGTGTGACTCTCAACAGGTCAATCTTAATTGCCTATCCTCAGTGGATCATGGATTTTGGTTTAATGGTTGAAGGACAGCTGAGACAGTAAGTAAAATAAAGTTAATTTTGGAATATAGAATCTACTGTTATTAAAATAAAATACTTTCCTCATATGATTCAATTTCTGGTCTGAATACGTACTCATATATTCTTTCAATCCAATTCAACCATGCTTACCGGTAATATTTGGTCTTGAGCCACCCAAATTGGAACATCCAAATTATTTTTCTAACACATAGTTCATAAATCCCTTCACTTAAACATTCATATCTGCTTTTTTAAGGGAGACAAGTGTTTTGGATGGCTATTGATGTTATCGGTAGTAAAGCAAACTTCAGGTAAGATTCGGCAAACCTGCAGTCTGTCTGCTCTGAACATTGGCTCTTAAATCCCACGCCTTCGGGGTTTCCCCCAAAAAATAACGGGGCAAATTATAATACAAAGCAAGGCTAATAGACGGATAATTTGCACTAAGTTATTTTGCCAACAACCCAGGCAGGCGAACAAGTTTTAGGGTGACGTTTTGCCCAGAATTTTAAGGGTGACTGCTACTGTATTTAGCTCCGAATTTCCTCTATCCGCATCTAATTCCTTGGCCCGCGTGTTTTAACTGCACTTTTCGTATTTCATCGTGCATTTTATGATTTGCATCTAGAAGGAAGCTTTCCACACTCCTACGCCTTGGAGTCTCAGAGACCGACATTTTGGCGCCTGCTTTTTTCAAACAGAACGAAGCTCGCCATTTCCATGGGACCATATGACGCATGGCGGCGGGGGGGAGATGACGACTCCAATGAGGCAGATGAAGGCCTGGTGTCTGCTCGGAACACGGCGCCACGTGACGTGGACCTCGGGCTGCCTGGACTCTGGGAGAGCTGCTCTGCTTAGTAGGCGCGCGAGGCGGGCTGCTGGAGGAGTCATGGTTGTCGCTGCTTCTGTCTTGGACGATCCGGAGGGCCATGGCTTCGACGATGCTGGCCTGGCGCCCCTTGCTGCGTGTATCCTCTAATGTCTGAGCCTTAACTAGCAGCTCCACTTGAAAAGGAGAACCCAGGTATGTCCGCACATCTCGCACGCTGCCGGTCGCGTTCCTTTTCCCTTTGAATGTTGTGACTCTTCGCAGTTGAGGTTCACAAGACGTGCTGCCTTGTTTCTATGCTGTCGGAATCCGAGGAGGACATGCACGTGTTGGGTTGATCAAGCGGGCCAGCCTTGGACTCCTCCGTCCCTCCCTTCTATCTAAAATAGATGGCTTGTAAACATGTTAAACAACGATTTCCATAACGCGGTCGAGGTAGGTTCAGTTCATGCTGAAATCTCATTTGTTACTAACCTTTTCTTCTAAGAAGCTGTTGGTCTTTGGGAAAAATAATCCAAACTGATTAGCTGGGTCAGCTGTAATTAGGCCAAGCTAAATAATGGACATACGGGGTTTTCTGTTCATCAAAACCTCCCCGAAGAGTTCTAGAGAACTTGAAGGATTCTACATCATGTTTCGATGTTTTGGGTTAGTCCTAGTAAAGAAATTACCACAGCAGGTGGCAGCACGTGGCTAATCTTAAAAAAGAAAAAAACCCTAAACAGTTTAGGACTTGGAAGGGAGACCTGCAGGAAATCCCAGGGTCAAAAACTAGAACTTTTGTTTAAAAAAAAAAATAAAACCTGTCCTGGAAGAAGCCATTTCTATGTTGTTGACAGAAAATAACAAGCAGGCCACTTTAGCTGACTGTGTTCAGCAGGTCAGCGGTTCAAATCTCACTGGCTCAAGGTTGACTCAGCCTTCCATCCTTCCGGGGTAGGTAAAATGAGGACCCAGATTGTGCTTGCACTTAAAGTGGTATATAAGTCTCATAAATAAAATAAAATAAATAAATAAATAAGATGGTGTGTTCAAATATTTACCAGGAGTTAAGTTCTGCTCCAGCTTTTAACAAAGATATTACTCGGGCTTATGTATGGATGTTTTTTCTCTGATGATATGATTAGGATAGGAATATTAAATAAAAAATTGCTTCCCCTCCCAATCCACAACTACCACCAAATTAAAAATTTTGCTTCTATTTCTTATTGACCACACAATGAAAATGGAGAGCAGGATTTTGGAAATGGAAAACCACCTTTTTCTGACTAAATTACTGAATCCAAACCTTTTCTAAGAATTCCTTGATTAAGACAGTTGCGTTGTATTGATTTTCTTGTACTAAGGAAGTGAATTTTAAATTTATATTGATAACTTTTGTTCTATTCATGCACGAGCATGTATAAATATAGAAATAAAATAAGATTCAATAGGATTCCGATGAAATCAAAGTTGGATTCAGATACCAGGGAGCCTGGACAGCCTCTTCTGTAGCTCCTGTGTCCTTTCTCACCCATCTTCATTCCTAAAAGAATAATAATGTCCTCTTTACTCACAAGGTTCAAGGGTGGTGGACACTATTCTACCCATTCTGCCTTTCCAAGATGCTGCCATTGAATAATGGTTTTTGTCAAAGAACTTTGGAGAGCTGGTAGAGTGTGCAAGTAGGCAAAAAGTTGTTCAAGCCAATGATCTGATTTTATTTAAGCAGTTTGGAATGTTAACCTGCTAATTTCTCGTAAAAGGTTTGCTGTTCAGACTATTTTTGTCTGAATTCTTTGTTTCTATCTTAATGCTGACATGTATAAACTCACTTGCATGTTTTTAAACTCCCAGAAATCTAGTATATGTGCTTACAGGAACTTGAGGAATGACTGCACAGACCAAATATTTAGGCTTGCAACAGTGGCCCAAAGCAATCCAGCTTTCTCTTGTATTCCAGTTAGGCAATGGTCTTAGAGACAATACAGTCTTTAAAAGAGATGTTTAGTTATCCTTCCTGGAATAGAATTGGGCAAAACCTTGTGGTTAAACCTCAGAGATTTGTGTGTGTGTTTGTGTGGACACTGTCTGGATTCACACATTGTACTAAGCCATAATGTGGCTTGTTTGGGTTGGCACAACTTGCTAAATTGTTCCTTCTAATTTGGCAGCTATAGTATATTGCTTACTGTTGCACAAGAATCCAGCTAGTCAAGTAGAAAAGCAGTATATGTATTGAATAAATATTCTGCAACATATAGATAAGTAAACCATGGCCTAATGCAGGGGTGTCAAACTCAATTTCATTGAGGGCCGCATCAGCATCATGGTTGCCATTGGGGGGGCGGTGGGTGTGGCTGGCATGGGCGTGGCCTACTGGGTGGGCATGGCCAGCTCCATGTCACTCATGTCAGGGGCACCTGTGTGGGCCTGGGCAAGAATGAGGCGCATCTGGGGGTGGGGAAGGGTGGGTGGGATGGGGCAAGGGCCAGGGCATGGTCCACTGGAGGAGCCTCACTGAGCCTCAGGCTGTGCATGGGGCCCCTGGACAGTAGCATGGACTGCCCAGAGCCCTGGACAGCAGAGGTCAAGTGCCCAGCCTGGCCCTTGAGCTCCCACGGCACCAGGACCCCACAGCCCTGCCTAACCTAGCCGCACTTCCCCGAGGGGGTGCCCAGCTGCCCTTTCCTCCTCCTCAATGCTGCTGCTGCTATGCTCACTCTCCTTGGCCAGGTTGCTCATAGTGGGTGCAGGAGGACAAAGTGCATGGGTCAGAGGGAGGCGAACTCCCTCTCCATGCGAGGAAACCTGGCTTTGTAACCAAAGCATCCTCAGCAATAGGATGGGAGACCACCAGGGAATGGCAAAAGAGCAACAGGGCTGTTGATGGCCAAGTGCTAAAGCAGGACTTCCCTCAGACCCTCCCTCCCTCCCTTCTCTCCTTTCTTCCTTCCTTCCTTTCTTTCTTTCTTTCTTTCTTTCTTTCTTTCTTTCTTTCTTTCTTTCTTTCTCTTTCTTTCTCTTTTTCTTTCTTTCTTTTTCTTCCTTTCCTTCCTTCCTTCCTTCCTTTCCTTCTTTCCTTCCTTCCTCCCTCCCCTTTTTCCCTGCCTCCGTCCTTTTCAGTCCCATCTCCTTCCTCCCCTTACTTTTTTCCTGTTTCCCTCCTTCCTTCCCTCCTCTCTGTGCGCAGGAAGGGACAAGGAGAGGGGAAGAGGTTGGCAGCACTTCTCTCAAAGAATAAGAGTTGGAAGAGACCTTTGAGATCTTTAGTCCAAGCTCCTGCTCAAGCAGGGGACAAATACCATTCCAGACAATGGAATATCGAATCTCTACTAAAAGCCTCCAGTGATGGAGCATCCACAACTTCTGAAGGCAAGCCTTTTCACTGGTTAGTTGTTTTCACAAGTCCTTAGTTCTAGGCTGGTTTTCTTCTTGATTAGTTTCCATCTATTACTTGCCTTCTGATGCTTTGGAAAATAGGTTGACCCCTTCTCTGTGGCAGCCCATCAAATATTGGAACAGTGCTATCATGTCACCACCCCTAGTCCTTTTCACTAAGCTAGACATACCCAATTCCCACAAACATTTGTCATATGTTTTAGCCTCCAGCCCCCTAATCATCTATGTTTACCATCCATTTAGACCAGATGGTCCCTCTGGTTTGGTTGATAGAACAGTTCTCAGAGACAGCACCCCCATTATAAAACTTTCTCCCAAGGAAAATATGAACAGTGCAACCCTCACCCGTTTACAGGCAACTCCAAACACACTGTTCAGCCAGGCATATGTAAAACAACAACACATTTTATGGTCAAACAGCACTAAGTAAATTACTACTACTATTTTTCTTTCTTAAAATACATACTTGTAATATTGTTTTAAGCAATGCTAGTGATGCTTTATAATAGCTGTCTTTGAGAGTTTTTTTGTAAACCATCCTGGATTTCTCAGAAACTTTTAATTTCAAATTAGATGTTGATTTAATAAATTAGGCAAAAGAAACAAATGTATGTGTTTGAGTGAGAGAGAGAGAGAGATCCCCTTTTTGTAAGTTTGCTTACTCTGCAATTCCCTGCTGGCTCAATCTCTCTCTCTCTCTCTCTCTCTCTCTCACACACACACACACACACATACACACACACACACACACACACACACACACAAAGGTTAATAAAAAAAGAGGGGGGGGAGAAAGGTGGAAGCTCTCCTTTTTTGTAAAACCTCGGCTTCCTCCTCCCCTCCTGTCTGTCTCTCTCTCTCTCTCTTACACACACACACACACACACACACACACACACACACACACTTCCTGTTTTCTTCTCCTCGTCCTTTTCCTCAGCTGCACCTGAATGGAGTGGGAGGAAGTTAAAAAAAAAGAGAGAAGGGGTGGAAAATTGGGGGAAGCTCTCCTTTTTTGTAATACCTCAGCTTCCTCCGCCTCCTCCTCTTCCACTCCTGACGGGGTTAAGCTGGGAGGGGAGGGGCAGGCTAAAGCAAATGAGCTGCTGCTGCTGAGCTGCTCCCTGTTTCCTGCACGTGCTCCAAGATACCCAACTGGGTTGCGGTGGGCTGGGGCAGTGGGGGCTGGTCCCTTGCCATTTCTGGGACAGTGGGGGGGGGGGGTAGGGCAAATCTGGGTCCTCCCCAGCCGCATCCGACCCGTGGCCTTGTGTTTGACATGTCTGGCCTAATATTATGTGTGAACCAAAACAAGGAATAGAATGTATGATTTGCATTGTCCAGTGCAATTAAAGCAAGTTTGAAAAATCTCAGTGAATGTTTTTCTTTTTCTTGCCTTGCCAGTTTTCAGAAGTGCCTTGAACAAAGTTACCAGCAATATGGTGCTATCGTTTCTGAAGTGTGTGCAAGAACTTTTGCTCATCTTTGCCTTGTCTGTAGCCTCTTCCTGGTCTAATGATTTTCTCTACCATGACTATTGTATTATTGGGGCTGGCCCTTCAGGTTTGCAGATAGCCTATTTCCTTCAGCATGCAGGTCGGAACTACGTTGTCTTTGAACGTAGGAATACACCAGGGCACTTTTTCACCTTGTATCCCCGTCATCGAAAATTGATCAGCATCAATAAACGTTATACTGGCAAATCAAACAGTGAATTCAACCTTCGCCATGACTGGAACTCATTGCTTAGCCACAATAACCAATTGCTTTTTCGACACTACTCTCAGGACTTCTTCCCTGATGCTGATACTATGGTGCATTATCTGGCTGATTTTGCTTCCAAACTAGACCTCCATGTGCACTATAACACATCCATTGTACTAGTGATGCTGGAAAAAGATCCCAAGGCTTGGAATGGTCATTACTTCATCCTCAAAGATCAAAATGCTCAGAATTACAAATGCAGGTAAGTGATGAAGAACGTCATCTGTTCATAGAAAAATGTCATGGTGCTCCCATAGTAAAAAATATGGGGGTTTTGATTATTAATAACATGCATGCATCAATCATCTTTTGGGGACTGAAGATAATTTAGGTGCCAGGGCATATTTCAGAGAGACCCTTCTCAAGATACAGCTGGGTACCTATACACTCCCACTTACGTTCCATTCCTTCACTCACCAACATAACTTTCCCTACAGACGTCCATTTGGAATATAGACACATTGCTGGAGATGACAGATCTGCTGTCAGTGAGATTGAGCTGGTTAATTTATTCTAAGACATTCCAGAAAGTCTAGCTGGTCTGAAATGTAGCAACAGGCATGGTGAGCAATTTCTAGGAGATTCCACATTATCCTCATGTTGAAATAGCTGCACTGGTGACTGATTGCTTGTGGGACATAATTACTTTGGTATATGAAGCATTACATGGCTCAGCTTCAAATGACAATAGGTCTGTCTGCTCCTGTACAATCCATCCTGTACACTGAGTTCATCAGTAGGATACTTTGTGCCACTCTTCCCATAGATTTAATTATCAAGAGCTATCAACTTTTTTATAGTGAGACTTTATAGTTACTGAGAGCGGAAAGCATATAAATCTGTTAAATAGGTAATATGACTGAAAAATATTCATTTTCTATACAGTTTATAATTTTGTAAAATCTTGTATTATAGCTCTGCGCATTTTTTTCCCCATTTTTATACCAGTAACTGAAACTCATATCTTTTCTACTAATTACAGGTGCTCCAAACATGCTGGATCAGTTGTGATGCCTGCTTTGGCATCTTTCTCATTTTGTTTGCCCTATTTGCTGTTCTAACAACAAAACCTGAAGTATAGTCATATCATACATTTTTAGAAGTAGAAAATGAAAATATAGTAGCTGTTTTCTAATCAAACTCTGTTTTAGTAGTCTCAACATAGATTTTCACTCTATTGAAATATACTGCAGTATGAAAATGCTCTTTTCAACCTGTTTCTGCTAATTGCTATAGTATAATCTTTGTTTTTTCTTTCCCACTGAATTGCTAAGTAAAAAAGGGCAACCCTACTCTAAACTACTTGAAAGCTAATTTTGGTGTTTGGGGGTTTCTTCCTTTGTGAATTACAGCTTTTTGCTGCACAACTTTATTGTTCAGATAATAAAATCAGTTTGATGATTTTATGAAATGTGTTAGTAGCTCTGGAGTAAAATATTTTGACATATAATGTGATTGACCTTAACCGAAATGTTTTTTCTCTATTTTAGTGTCCTTTTGGTGGCAACAGGAATGTGGGTTCCTCACGAGGTGAACTTTGCAGGTTCAGAATATGTTGAAGGTTATGAATCTGTGTCAATTGACCCAAAAGATTTTGTTGGACAGTCTGTATTGATCTTGGGTCGGGGAAATTCTGCCTTTGAAACAGCAGAGAACATTTTGGGTGTCACCAATTTTGTACACATGGTAGGCCGTTCTCGAGTTCGTCTTTCTTGGGCTACTCACTATGTTGGAGATCTGAGGTAAGACTTCATATTCATATGAACTGCTATATATATTCAGAGACAAAAGATATATATTTTTAAATGCCTTTCATCCAAATTCCAAATAAAAATGTTGAAGAGTTCAAGACCCAGGATTGAATATTGTTGCCCTTCACTTGATATCTCTCTCCAGCTTAACAGGAAACTATTGATCAGTATACCTGAGATATGAATTTTGAAATAGCTGTGTATTCATTTCATGATCATGTAATGCATCTCTTTTAATTAGATTCCCAGTCATGATTTATTGAATATGCTAAAAATCAAGATATTGTGTGATATATGTCTACAGCAGGCATGTCAAACTCATGACGTCATGTGGCGTTGCGTGACATATCGTGACTTTTTCCCCATTGCTGGCAATGTGGTGGGCCTGGTTTTGGCGTGACGCATCCGGCCCGTGGGCTGGCAGTTTGACATGCCTGGTCTACAGTATTTCTCTAGTGCAGTGATGGCAAACCTTTTAGAGACCGTGCCCAAAAACCAGCCCATCCTGCCTGCTCCAGCCCTCCCCCCACTCCGCCCCCGCCCTGCCCACTCGCAGGGCCACTCAATGCCTTCATGGCCCACTGCAGATCGCCCAGGCGGGCCAGCAGCACCATGGGGCTAACTCTCCACCAGTGCCCCGCAGCATAAACTGCGCACAACAGAGCATGAGGGTGGAGTCTTGTCCCCGCTGCCCGGCTGCCATGTCCTTTGCTGCACTGCTCTGTGCAGGCTGCGCCCGGGGGCAACTCTCCTCCAGAGGGGCTGCTGGTGAGGAGGGGGCCACAAGGGGAGGTGGGGTTGGGGTGATGGCACGCGTGCCCACAGAGAGGGCTCTGAGTGCCGCCTCCGGCAGGCATGCTATAGGTTCGCCACCACTGCTCTAGTGTATTAAGAAAGACAACTGATCAGAAAATAAATTTAGTCTAGCAAGATTATTCTAGGCAAAAAGCATTGTATCTTTAGTACCTTAGAATGCAGTTAATCTAGTCCCACATAATTAAACTAATTAAGAGAAAATTGGATTCCCTAGTCACATCTTAATCTTGCTCCTTTATTCTGTTTCTTATAATTGCCTGGCAGAACACATGTCTTCTTGTTAGAGAAGCCAAATTAGGAATCAAATTATTTTGTTTTTTGATTATAACCTATTAATACTTTGTCATCTTTTCCGTTACATCAATTCTTTTCTCTGCATTTAAGTTAAACATATCTGAGGCAATGCTTCAGTTTGGTTTAATAAACCAAGCTTGGTTCATTTTGAATTCTAGCCTTTCTAATAGTTCTACAATCTGGACTGTTCTGTAATTGCCATTCTTCAGTGATCTCTCCCTCATTCCATGCTCCATATAGTTCCTGTTGCTCCTGGATCTTTACTAAACCTTTTGTGCAGTCCTATCGTTGTCTTCTGCTATGTTGTCCCTTTTCCTTGCTAGAATTGTTTCCAGTTGTAATACCTTCTTTTTTAAGAACTCCACCCATTTAGGGCTCCTCTCCTTATTCTCCAGCAACAAAATCCTACTTATCAATACTCTGAGTTCATTAAAATCTTTCTTGAGATTCAAGATACGCTTTCAGCTTTATTTTCCTTTCAAATAATAACTACATTTTCTAGATTAAGTGTGCCTTTTGGTTCACATCACATCAAGAATATCTGATTCTTATGCCTTTGTCGAACCTGAAGGAAAAGCTATTAAAGAGAAAAATTAGAAATTTCCTGGAAAGAATATGTTTTTTAGAATTAGTCTCCCAACAGATGTTGAAATAATGAGTTTCCCATCACTCCATTTCTTTTTTGAAAACAAATTCTGCCATTTGTTTTTGGGAAGGGACATCTTGGTTGGTCAGGTAAACAGAGATTAACTCTGCCTCTCTATCCTGGCTTAAGTAAAGCGTACAGGTAGTTCTCGACTTACAACAGATCGTTTAGTGACCATTCAAAGTTACAACAGCACAGAAAAAAGTGACTTATGACCATTTTTCACATTTATGATCATTGCAGCATCTTCATGGTCATGTGATCAAAAATCAGGTGCTTGGCACCTGATTCATATTTATGATGGTTGCAGAGTCTCAGGGTCAGGTGATCCCGTTTTGCAATCTTCTGACAAAGTCAGTGGGGAATTCAGATTCACTTAACAACCATGTCGCTAACTGAATAGCTGCAGAGATTCACTTAACAATTATGGCAAGAAAGGTGGTAAAATGGGGCAAAATTCACTTAACAAATGTCTCACTTAGCAACAGAAATGTTGGTCTTAATTGTACATTGAGGACTACCTGTAATATTACTTGGGAAGAAAAGGCAAGTTAACCTGAGACAGTTGGGAGGAGTGTTGTGTAGACTATTAGTGAGACTGCCATAAGCCAGCCCATTTCTGCCCACTTTTTCTCTGGCAACTAATTCACATGCACACATCTATTTTGTTTGATAACAGTCCTGCCCGGTATCATCACTCCAAGTCCCATCTCCCTTTTTATTCCTATCCCTCGCTTAGCTGCTTAGAGTAAATAGGTCGGCAACTCTCTGAAGGACCAGATAGAAGCATTTTGGTCATTGCTATTTGTTATAGAGTGGACTTTTGGGGGGGGGGGTTTCAAAGAACAAGACATGGAATATTGGTGAAAGGGGTATGATATGAACAAGTGTAGTGAGAGATGCTTGATTTCGGTGAGACATAAAGTTGACATTTTGGTGATTTGAGATGATGAAGATGATCTCAAACCCATCCACTGCAGGCTGAAGCTCTCTTCATTTAATGTTATGGGCCATAACTCTAGCATGTTGATGCAATGTGGGTTGGTAGACTATAATTTTCAACCTCCCAGTTTAGGGCTGAGAAAGAGTGATTGACGCAAAGTCACCCAGCTGGCTTCACCTAAAGGAGGACTAGAACCTGAATCTCCCAACCTCTAATCTGGTACCTTAGCCCCGATACCACTGAAAGAAAGATGACCGTTCACAACTTCTTAGTGTGAGTACATTCAGGAAGTAACAAGTAAATAAGAAATATTTTATTCTTATTTTCCCAATAAGAAAAAAATAAAACAAAGACTGCTCCCTTACTTATTCTTTTGGTCTTCCACAAGACATTCTGTTTGTTATATTTGTTAATCATCTTCCTAGTATATTTACAAAAGAATATAATAATTTGAAGTAAAACAAAAGTAATGTTTTCACCATCAAAATACTAAAACTAATATAAAACATAAAAATAACACAGGAAGTTGCTTCATACCTAGCCAGAGTACTTCTACATTTAATCTAGAATTGTCACAATGAGTGGTAGCCATTTTTCTAAATATGGCATGTGAAGTAACACATGACATCCCACCTATTGTTTCTTTCCTTCTTTCTTAGAGCAGTAAACAATGGGATCTTAGATACGTATCAGTTGAAGTCTTTGGATGGACTTATAGAGGGTGATCTAGCAGACTTAGTTCTCATCAAAGACAGAAAAGGAAAGCTGCGTATCACCCTCCGGTTCTACTTGGAGAACAGCAACAGCAGTGACCCAGAATCTGTCACTCTTCCACAGGACGAATTAGACAACTTTGCCACTCGTGCACCTTATGACCGTGCCATTCGCTGCCTGGGTTGGAAGTTTGACTTTTCCATATTCAACAAGTAAGATGGGATTGGTACTAACATGACAGAGAGATAAGATGTTTGAGAGGGTTGATATGCATAGATAGGTATGTAGCATGGATGAAATATTCTGAGCCTCAAGTCAAACAAAATGGCATGCAAAATGTCTATGGAGATTCTCAGTCATCCAGGTCATAGTTGTCCCAAACAAAACAAAACAAAAAAGTCCAGTTCCTCATGAAAAAGCATATTTGGTCATGCAAAATGCTTTCCCATCTTTTATTAAATGTAATATTTGCAGTACTTTATAATGATCTATTTCATGTTTGCAAATTGAGTTCCATAGTAAAATGGTTTGGAGATTTGACTAAAGTGTATAGCTATTCTCATGACATCACCATTTATCCTTCTGGGACTGCTTAAGCAGTAAGATGGTCTTCCATCTCTTTTTCATGCAACCATTTTGTTGTTGCTATCCCTTAATTCAGTCTAAACTAAAATAGCAATTAATTGGTTTCCATAAATGTTTTAAAAAGAAGAAGATCATTGTGTCACATATGAAACTTGCTTTGCTCTGCTTTAAAAAGCCAGTATCTCTGCAGTTAGGGTGCACTTATCCAGGTATAATTGCATTGTAATTTTGTTTAATTTCGGGGGAGCAATGTGTGGATATGCTTCAGTTCTGTGCCCAAACTATGATAATATGCTTGGTTGTCAAAAAATTAAACTATAGCTTGATCAGAAACTGAAAGCAGAGCTCCTGAAAGCAGAGCTCCTGACCCAGAGCCCCTCTTTTGGCAGGCAACTCTTTCAGCCAGTCCTCAGAGACGAGAGGGAGCTGAAATCTGAATGTCAGGGCAGCAGAGTAAAGTAAGGAGTGGGTCTGCCTCAGGCAAATGGGGGATGTCCTAAGAGCCCTGTGCAGACTTCACGCACATCTCTTCACTTGGGTGCTGAAAATCCTGCTTGAATTTCAGCAGGGAATGCCGTCCACTTACAACCTAAAAGATCACTTAATAACCATAACCAGCAGTGCCAGCATTGTGGTCATTGAGAGAAGCAGTCACATGGGCATCTCGCTTAACGACCACTTTGCTGACTGACTGAGATTTTGGCCCTAATTGGTGTTATAGGTCAAGGACTACTTGTAAAGAAGAACCTACAGCTCCTGCATAAGAACACCCAAGTAACACTGTTGATATTATTTGCCTTAAGCATATATTTAGATAATTGCCTTATGGCGAGGAAGAGCGTTGTTGGGAAAAGGATATTTCCTGAGCCTTTTAACATGTAGATGGTCTCAAGATCAAAATTCATACACTGCCCTTTCTATTGTAATCTGTGAAGTCAGACAGACTCTTTTTCTGATTAGTTTCTCAGTTGCTCTCTCCCCCACTCCTAGGTCTGTTGGTTTGATGCATGGCAAAGGCAGTAAGAAGAAGTATCCTTTGATCAAGCCCAGCTATGAAGCCAAAGCTACTCGAGGTCTTTTTCTTCTCGGAACTGCAAGCCATTCAGTGGATTTTAGGAAATCTGCTGGTGGTTTCATTCATGGTTTCCGATACACAGGTGAGTTTGGAGATAGGGAGAAAGTGAATGTGAGCAAGCTCAGTGGTGACACTGTTCTGGCTTTTGAGGCCCATCTCTTTTTTTTTTCTTTTAAGCAAATTATTCCATTATTTTTTCCATTTATCAACAGAAGTAACATACTGCAATTTTTTCAGCAATACCTTTTCTATTATAAACAATGCTGAAAGTAGCAAATGCAAGTAAAGAACACAACTAAAAATTCAGCTTGAAAAGCCAATTAGTTATTATGCAACATATAAGCATTAAACTGCCAAATGTTTTTATGTATTGTAAAAATATTTAAATTACAATTTCAATATGCCGTAAAAGAAAAAGAAAATGGGTAGGAAGGGACAAATAGCGGTCTGGTAGTGCATTTATACCAGCCACCCACTGTTATCAAATTTTCTCTGATCTTTCTCATTGTTACTACAAAGAAAAGCTTTTTCTGTATCTGGAAAGATTTGTGGTTCTCCAGATATTTCTAAGCTACAGATTCTGGCATCCCTCACCAGTTTTTGGAAGCACTTTCCAACAGAGGTTGTGGTATTACTAAATCTATCAGATGTGAAGGCCAGTAAAGACTTAAAAATCTGAATTTGTTCAAGAGTGTGAGACAGTCAAAGAATAATATAGTAACAGCATGATCCATGTTTTTCTTCTGCCTGTTATAGTGCGAAACTATGCCAAATAATTGTAAGCTTTTTGGCTGTAACCCAAAACTTACTTGTTGCACTTATTAGGGCAGTTCTCTTAGCATGTAATATTAAATGATAATATCTGCCTCGTTTGTTCTTCCCCCATTATGCAGCCCGTGCAGTTCATCGCCTACTAGAAGTCCGTCACCACAAAGTGCCCTGGCCAGCCTCCAGCTATCCTGTTGTGCAGTTAACAAATGCTATTGTCAGGCGGGTGAATGAGGCATCTGGGCTCTATCAGATGTTCAGCGTGTTGGCAGACATCATTTTGCTGAAAGAGTGAGTGAGTAATGAAACTCAGGGGTTTTCTCCTTTAGAATCAGTGAATGGAATCAGTTAATTCCTCCTATGAGCAGAACTTCTGCCAAGCATAACCAAGCGGGAACTCATCCTTTTCCTCCTTCCCCTTGTCTGCCACTTTTCATGACATTGTGTGTCCTCCAAAACTGCACAAAAGGGTTTATAATACCTGGAAAGCAGATTCTGAGGAGCACAAGAGCTGCACAGCAGAAAAAAGAAAAAGGAAATCCAGACAAGTAGTTTTCTATTCTATTCCCTATTCTGCCCAGATTTGCCATAACAATCCTGTAAGGTAGATTGGGTGGAGAGTTAATGATTGGTGCAAAGAATCAATCACTACTAGATTTAGTATTTAACCCCATCTTTTCAATTTTATTTGTTAAACCCTAAAGAGGATTGCCCTAAAAATGTTCCTTTTGAGAAGGGTGTATCAGTGCAAAGGTTTATGTGGTGGGATTGATTCTAGTCACATATTTTGCTCTGCTAAATTCAGAATTTAGTGAATGAACTAAAAGATTCAAGCAAGAGCATGATCAAAGTTTTTCTATATTTTACAAGCTGTTCCTTGTAAAATACAGTATATTACAATACTCTAACCCTTAGGTTATAAATATACAATTGACAGTGGTCAGAGCTCTTTGGAGTAGAGTTTAGCTAAGGGTACCGCCATAGCTGATGCTTGATAATCATGGAATAAAGCAGAATTTAAAATTAATTCCAAATGGTGGATTGAGTGTGGTAGAAAATGCAATCCCATTTTAAAAAAATCCTTTGCAATCAGGTCACCATTATTAGCCAAGGTGCCTTGTTATCTTTGAAATGTATTTGTTTTGTTTGGTCCTAGGAATGCCACAAAATTTGAATACCTGGAGGAGTATCCAATTGGAGTCCTACAAGACCTGGAGTGGCGCACGGGAAGGAAAATACAGGATGGACTTTTTGTCATTATGATGGAGTATGGAAAAAACTTCTCTGGTCCTGATAAGGATGTCTTCTACTATAACCGTGCAGTAGGAGAGCCAGAGCATGCTTGGCAGTCTAACTTCCTGCATCCTGTAATTTATTATTATAAGCAACTTCCCACTGGTAAACAATGTTTTTTTCCTTTTCCACTAATTAACAGTGTTTCATGTAATGTTAAAAGTATCAGAAAGTTGGATATATTTTAGTATGTTTTGGATAACTTGTTAGTGTGCTGGAGCTGATTTATATAGATAGGATAGCTAGCATTCAGGAGGCATTAAGGAGGCAGTGATAGACACAACATATCTGGCTACACCAAATCAGAGATACTTTTGACCACTTTGGGTGAGCTATTATGTATATTTTAACTGCTGTTGGCTTTTAACTTGTTGATTTTGATTGTAGCTGGACTGTCACCCCGTGCAGGATATACTGCAACTAAAATGTTTTAAGGAAACAAATTTCTCATACTTTTACTGTTCATTCTTCCTACAGCGTTTGATTGATAAAAGATTGATCCATGACCTGCAAATTATTCTTTTCCTATTGTCCAGATTCTTCCAAGGGTCTTCCAAGACTAAAGGCATTCATTTTACTCTTTAAAAACTAGTAATTTCACTACCACCCCAAAAAACAGGCAGTTTCTACTTATTTCTGTATATCTTTGATTTCAAAATTTAAAAGCAGAAGCCAGTCTTAAAAGTTTTCATTACATGTTTACTTAAAAATTAAAATTCTGATGAAATCAATGGTCCATCCCTGGTACATTTTGTTGTTGCCATATGTCATCTACCAAGAGAACTAAAGTAGTTTCAGGATATTGGCCAGCCAAAAACCCACATGAAATGCATCTAGAAAGCTCCATGACCACTAACTCGTTAAATTTGCAAATGACACCAAACTGGCAGGAATAGCCAGCACTCCAGAAGATAGGCTTAAGATACAGGAGGACCTGGACAGACTTAAATACTGGGCGCTATCTAACAAAATGAAACTCAATGGTGAAAAAAGTAAGGTTCTACACTTAGGCAAGAAAAAACAAATGCACAGGTATAGTATAGGTGGTACCGTGCTCAATAGTAGTAACTGTGAGAGGGATCTCAGAGTCCTAGTTGATAAACACTTAAATATGAGCCAGCAATGTGCTGCAGCTGCCAAAAAAGCCAACACAGTGCTAGGCTGCATTAACAGAGGGATAAAATCAAGATCACGTGAAGTGTTAATACCACTTTACAATGCCTTGGTAAGGCCACACTTGGAATACTGCATCCAGTTTTGGTCACTACAATGTAAGATGTTGAGACTCTAGAACAGTGGTTCTCAACCTTTTTAATGCTGCGACCCCAACCGGTCGTAAGTCAAGGATTAAACCGGTCGTAAGTTGAGTACTACCCAACCGGTCGTAAGTCGAGGACTTTCCCTGCCCAGGAGCACAGCGCATGCGTGGTGCCGCCCCCTGCGCCGGCTGAGGCGTAGATGGCAAGCGGCAGAGACGGAGCAGGCCGACCACCGGCTGGGCCACCAGCTGGCCCAGCCCAAGGGAGGTAAGGCACCCACTGGAAAAGGGGGGAAAAAATGGCAGACTGCCTTGCTTGGCGACCCCTGTGAAATGGTCGATCGACTCCAAATGGGGTCGTGACGTATAGGTTAAGAACCGCTGCTCTAGAAAGAGTACAGAGAAGAGAAATAAAGATGATTAGGGGACTGAAGGCTAAAACATGTAAAGAACGGTTGCTGGAATTGGGTGTGTCTAGTTTAATTAAGAGAAGGACCAGGGGTGACATGATAGCAGTGTTCCAATATCTCAGGGGTTGCCACAAAGAAGAGGGAGTCAAGCTATTCTCCAAAGCACCTGAAAGCAGGACAAGAAGCAACGAATGGAAACTAACCAAAGAGAGAAGCAACCTAGAACTAAGGAGAAATTTCCTGACAGAACAATTAATCAGTGGAACAACCTTTTTCCAGAAACTGTGAATGCTCCAACACTGGAAGCTTTTAAGAAGAGACTGGACAGCCATTTGTCTGAAATGGTATAGGATTTCCTGCCTGAGCAGGGGGTTGGACTAGATGACTCCAAGATCCCTTCCAACTTATTATTATTATCATCGTCATCATCTACCTTTCCTAAAAACGGAATATTTGAGACTGCCCTGTTTCACAAATATTCTGGGTGAAGAGAGGTTTCTTCAGTTAGGTTTTAGTATAACATTCTTTGGACATGGGGAACACATCCTTCTCATAATGAGGCACTGATGAGATCCCTTAAATATTGGATCTAGACATTTTAGTCAGTCAAGAGGAGAAAGGGTCAAGTAAACAGGGAATAGGCCTCACCTTGTCTATGTCCTCACAGTTTCCAAGCATCAAAAACATCAAACTAAAAGGACAAATAGTTGCTCAAATTGCATCCCTAGTAATAATATGAACAATTTTATTTGGAAATAATTATACACATTTCTCTAATGTGTATATAACTTGTTTATAGTGTTCTGTGGGTTACAATAGTGGTTTAGTGAGTACCATGACAGCTGTATAAATAAGTCACATTTTAGCTGGGTTACGCAAATTACAATTTGGCTGAACAAATGTTTGAGATGAGTCCAAATAATATGTGGATGCTATTTTAACCCATTGGTAGGGAAAGTAGGTGTAAACTCTCCAACAAAATACACCAAAATATTGTCTTTTCTGGTGATATGATCTACCATTTTTATTTTCCTGTGGCCCCTGGAAAACCAAAAAAACTTAAGCTTGTAAAGAAGTTCTCAGCCTTGTGTTAGGAAAATAAAATTTGTTTGTGTTACTTTCTGAACTTGGTTGTTCAGTTGCAGATGTTTCATTGCCCAACTAGGCAACATCTAGTTGGGTAATGGCCAAGGACTCCACAGTTCAGCCCTAAGCTAAAAATATTCTCTTCTGTTGTACAATTTGTTTAATTGTCCTTTTGTTGTTGAATGCTAACTTGTAAAGCAAGCTTCTGTAATCCAAGACTCTTCAGAGGGACTAAAACTCTCAGCCTCCCAAATTAAGTTTCTTGCTCATTTTTTATTTTGCGCTTTGTGTCTTTCTCTCTCTCATAACTATCTCTGACTCCTCCCAACAGAACGTGAAATGAGACTGTGCCCACCAGATTGGCCCTTGCCTCGCCCAGACGCAATCCATCACATTGTGGAAGATTTCCTGACTGACTGGACTGCTCCAAACGCACATGTCCTCCCACTGAGACGTTTCTTGGAGAATTGCCTTGAAACTGATTTACGCAGATTCTATGCAGGTATTCTGGGAACTAGTTAGGAATGAATCCATAGGGAATGGAAGCAGGCAGATAGGCCAGGTAACCATTAAATTCCTTTCAGCCAAGATCCATGTTTACACATAATCCCTCATCAAAGTGAATCTATCTCTTGCTCTTTACGGAGTCCTTGGAAGGTAATGGAACCAAAGATATTTACAATGAATTCATGATCACCTGAAATGAGCACAAAATTATAAAAGGACAATTTGGACTTATAACTAAAATATTTGTACTGAAACTGCATATTAAAACTGGATTTAAGAGCTTTGTAGTACTAGAATTCTGTGGATTTCCTGGCAAGAATTTTATTCTCTGGATTAGCATACTAAAGGCAAAATAAATTCTTTTAGACATGTCATAAATACTAGCAAACATATTTGCATCTCTCCTCCAGAAAGTCACATTCCCCACAGTTTTGGGGAGATTGTAAACTCACTAGTCTGCTTCATCCATCTCCAGAGTTTCAACACTAAATGTGCAAAGATCTTCATGTCTGTTTGCCCAGGGAAGCACAAAAATGTTCTTGCTTACAGTTTTAGCTCTTGGGTAGACAAGAGCACAAATACGTTGAGCTAAATTTTGCCTGTACATTGTCTATTTACATTTCCTAAACGAATAAACTACATATATTGATTTGATATGGACTTATTTTGATATATGAATACAGCTATTATAGTTTACAGCTGAGCATTAGTTGTGTTGTACAAAAAAGCATAGCACATGGACTCTGTCACATGTGCTGCTATACTAACATTACTAAATTAAACCTGTGATCAAGTCAGAACTATTTAGAAGACAACAAAGTCCATGTCTTTATATCAAAAGAGCAAAAAGTACAATTTGACAGGTGCCTCATGTAGCCCATTAGCATCATTTTTGAGTGTCCCCAGAACCCTCTTAAAGAATGAAAATAGGTAGAAAACTGGGTCTTTTTGCTTTTAGAGACAATTTGGCAGTTTTAATTGGTGCCTAAAGCCTTATAGATGTCTTAAGGTACTTATTGTACCCTTTAAACTTCCTCCCAAAATGGGCATTTTTGAAGTATGGGCTCAAAATATTTAACAAAATGTACTCAGAACTCCTTTATATGATATTTCATTCAGTATAGACCAGGGGTAGGCAACCCAAAACACTCAAAGAGCCACTTGGATCCGTTTCCCACCAAAAACAAAACACCGGGAGCCGCAAAATCCTTTTGATATCTAAAATGAAGATAACACTGCATATATCCTTTTTTACCTTTATTATAGGTGTGTGTGTGTTTCTGTGTGTGTATATATGTATGTGAGTGTGTATATGTATGTATGTATACACACACACACACATATATATACACATACATACACATACACATACAGGTAAAAAAAGGATATATGCAGTGTTATCTTCATTTTAGATGTCAAAAGGGTCTCTCTCTCTCCCTCTCTATCTGCCCTTGGTCTGCCTGCCACTCCTCTTCCCCCACTCTCTTTCTTTCTCTCTCTCTCTTTCCTCTCTCTCTCTCCCTCCCTCCCTCCCTCTCTCTCTTTCTCTCTCCTATTTGCTGCTCACCTGGCAAGCTTCAAGCTGTTGTCCAACAAGATCAGGGGTAGGCAACCGCGTCTCTTTTATGACTCATGGACTTCAACTCCCAGAATTCCTGAGTCAGCCTAGCTAGGCTAGCTAGCTCTCTCCTGCCCTTCCTGCTTCCTGCAGAGACGCAGCAAAGGGAGGAGCTCCGTCCAGAAAGCTTTTCAGCTCCTCGGAGAACACTGTGAGTGCAACCTTTTACACACACACACAGAGAGAGAGAGAGAGAGAGAGAGAGAGAGAGAGAGAGAGAGAGAGAGAGAGAGAAGGAAGCAGGGAAGTGCAATTGCCTCTCTCTGTCTCTGTCTCCTCTGCCTTTGCAGAGAGCCACCGGATGCGGCTCCGGAGCCGCAGGTTGCCGACCTGTGGTATAGACCATACACTTCATAATTTTAAGGATTAGAAACTTGTATTACTGATTTTAAACTAAATTTCTGAGTTTTTTGAAATCTGCTAAGTGGGCTAGAGCAGAAGACTTTTCTTGATCCATTGTTTAATTTTTTTTCTGGTATGGTGTATAATTATATCTCAGAGTGGGTTAGCCTCTAACAATATTTCCTATTTCCTTATAATAGAAGCTTATATGAACCCAGATTGTTGCTGATTCACGTACTGTAGGAATCTTTGCTAGAGTTAGCAAATCAATTATAAGCTAAGAATCATAATCTATTCAGCAGGGGAAAATGCTATTACTGCTTACTACTATTCTGTTTCAGTTTTTGGATATAACAATCTATAAAGCATGCAATGAAGAACACTTTTTCCCTATTTGTACAGACTCCTGCTTTCTGTTTGCCTTCACTCACTTGAGGCTGCCTCCCTCCTGCCAGCAAGGGTACATGAGAAAGCAAGGGCTTGTGGGAAGTGAAAAGCTTCAGCATCAGAGAGTAGCAGCAGAGCTGGTTGAACATGCAGCTATGAAGTCTCAAGATGAACGAGAGAATGGCGCTATGCAATCCCACAACCAGCTGCTAAAAAGTTCAAAGATATCCAGTCATCAGCTGCAGCATCTTAGAAGCACCAAGGATGAACTTTAGCTTGCACCCAACTATTTCAAAATTCACAAGTGCTATAGACACAATACCATGGCAAAGATCTGCAGAGGAGTTCCAGCATCTGGTATATCTGCTCAGGTTCCTAACCATTCCTAGATGAGGACCACAACTCATCCGTACCATATTCTTGCACAAACCTGTAGATCTTTATGAACATGAACGTATACATTCCTTGGTGGGATTGAACAGATGATACTTTAATGGATTGTGTTAGCCTCTAGAGGTGGGAAATATTGTAAAGAACAGAGAGCAGTGACATCTCCAGGCCAGTAAGAGTGAATAGTTGAGCCTGGATCCTTTTATACCAGGTTTTCAAGATGCACTGTTACTATAGTCATTAGTGTGTTCTGTAGAACTGGCATGCTTGAATGCCAGCCTGTTTATTTCAAGACAAAATGTTCTTGCATGTTAACCAGAGTATTTCTTCTGTTTGCACTATGCCCCATTAATTTAGTTTAATTCTCTGTTTCCTATTTTATATATTTTTCATATTTTTTAAGGTTAGGTTAGGAATACTGTTTGCACTTTTTTGCACCTTTACCTCTAGTGCATTGATTACTCTGACTTTTATTGAATTGTATGTAGCAATCTAGAAATAATCAAAGCTTATTTCTTATTTATTTCTTCAGATAAAATGAATGACATTCATATATTTTCTTCTTCTGTCTCACCAGAGTCCATAACAGAAGTGCCCAGAGTACAGGTGGTAAGCAAAGCACACATTCTGCATATAAAAGATCCCTGCTTTGATTCCTGGCACACACTGTCTCAATATGATGCCCTCCAGATTCATGGACTACATTTCCCAAAATTCTCAGGCAGACATTGTCATGGCTAAAAATTAAGGAAAGAAAAAATCTAGCAAATCTGAAAGCTAGCTGCTTCAGGAAGACTATACTAACTACCAAATTAAACAAGAAGGACCAAAGTTTTGGGATAGTTCTACAGTGTGTTGGTTAGAGATGAGAGTTACATTCCAACATATTTGGAAGCATAAAATTAGAGGATAGATAGTACTGAGTTAGATATGCCAATGGTCTTCTTGAACACAAACTAGGATTATGCAAAAGTGATACTTGATATTGCTTCTACTGGATATTTTTGATTTGGTCACGTTAATATATGTGAAGATCATACTATTCTATAATATAGGAAAATTTGTATTCCTTTCTTACAAACACACTATCTAAATCTTATTCAGACCCTTCAAGACAGTGGTTCTCAACCTGTGGGTCGGGACCCCATTTGGGGTTGAACGACCATTTCACAGGGGTCGCCAAACAACACAGTCTGCCATTTTTCCCCCTTTTCCTTAGCTGTGCTACTCCTTTTTATTCTATTGGCTTTTGAAAGCCAATAGAATAGACTCTCTTAAATAGAGTCTAATTCTATTGGCTTTCAAAAGCCAATAGGAATTGTCCAGGCTGTCTCTGCCCTGCTGAGCCCGCCAAAAGTCCCATTCTGCAAACGGTGCTGCACCAGTTGAGTAGTCTTCGGCTTACAACCGGTTGAGTAGTCCTCAACTTACGACTGGTTGGGGGTCGCGGCATTAAAAAGGTTGAGAACCACTGCTCCAAGAGGTAGTCTAATATGTCAGGAATGGTGACTGCCAGTGGTCTAAGGTTCTATTTGGTACACCATGTGCAGAAGTTTCTCCACATAGCATCATAAATCCTATTGGTCGAGGGTCGCCTTGAAGCTTGGATTATTGAGATCACCCCAGACGAATAGGACTGCCTGGCTAAACTCTCCCATTCAAGTGCCAAGCGACTAGTTGAAGCCACTGGGGGTCTGGGTGTTGAAGTCTCCCCTGAGTGAGAGAAATGCGACCCGACGGACTCCTCCACGGTGGGGAGAGTGACAAATCCACGAGGTCAGCAAACCACAGTCGCCTTGGCCAGTGTGGGACAACTAAGATTACTTCCGCCCGTTCTTGAAGCTTGCAGATGGTCGCTGGTATCGGGGAGAGGAGGAAATGTGTAAAGGAGCCCCCTGGGGCACTTGCTGTGGAGGGCATCCGTTCCCTCTGCCCCCGGTGAGGGGAACCTTGTGAAGTACCTGAGTAGTTGGGACTTTATCAGGGAGGCAAACAGATCCACTTGTGGATGTCCGAATCAGGCCGAGATTTCCCTGAACAGGGCCGGGTCCAGACGCCACTCCGAGTGGTCGACCGTGACCCTGCTCAGTGAGTCGGCTTGACGATTTGCCTCCCCAGATATGTGCTCTGCACTGATAGATTCCAGGTTGGACTCTGCCCACAGACCCAGTTCCAAGGCCTTCAGCATGAGAGACCACGACCGGGTCCCTCCCTGTCTGTTGACATGGGCCTTGGCTGTTACGTTGTCCGTCAGTATTAGAACGTGCTTTCCCGCCATAAGGGCAGAGAGCCAGATGGATTGCTCTGAGTTCTAGCCAATTTATGTTGTGCGATAAATCTGACTGGGACCATTGACCCTGTGCCATCTGAGTCTGTAGGTGGGCGCCCCAACCGAACAGGCTGGCGTCCATAGTCAAGGTTAGCCTGGGAGGCTCCTTAAATAGGGATCCCCTGTTCATTGCTGACGACGTCCACCACAGAAGAGACAACAGTGTGTGATGTGGGACTCTCACCCTCCTTGTGGAAGCACTCACGTTCCGTTTCTGGAAGGGAAGGAGGAACCACTGGAGAGCTCTGGAATGTAGTCTGCCCCACGGAACGATTCCCAGACAGGAGACCATCTTCTCCAACAGTGAGACAGCTGAACCAGAGGAACCACCTTCTCTCTCTGGATCTTGTGGACAAGTGACCTGATACTGTCTTTGCGCTCCTGGGAGAGGTAAACCTTGCAAAGATTGGAGTCTATAATTGCTCCTAGATGAAGGAGGCGAGTTGAAGGGGTTATGTGACTTTTCTTGAAATTCACGGAAAATCCGTGTTCCTGAAGAGTATTGATTGTGAGTTGAAGATCTGATTGGGCGGAACGGAAGGAACTGGATTGGATAATTATATCGTCCAGTTAACATTGTACGCGCACCGGAATTAATCTGAGATGGGCTGCCAAGACAGCCAATATCTTTGTGAATACCCAAGTGGCCGAGGAAAGCCCGAAGGGTAGAGCCCGATACTGATAATGCTGGTGCGCGTAACAAAACCAGAGGAATCTGCGGTGTTGTGGGAAGATGGGGATGTGGAGGTACACCTCTGTCAGATTTACTGAGGAGAGGAAATCCCCTTTTCTGATACTGGCCAGAATGGATTTGATGGACTGCATTTTGAACCTCCTGTAGGTTAGGATGTAATTGAGCCCCTTTAAATCCAATATGACCCTCCAACCTCCCGAGGCCTTGGGAACTACGAACAGAATGGAGTAAAACCCCTGTCCTCTCCGTTCCAGAGGTACTGGCTCTATGGCCTCTTATCTCTAACAGACGGGATATGGCTGTGGATACCAACTCGGCCTTGTTTGTGTTTCTTGAGGTGGGACACTGTATAAAGCGGTCTGGAGGGATGGATATAAATTCCAGGGCGAGACTGAATCTTGTGGTCTCCCAAGCGTTGGTGGTGGTGACCTCCCAAATGTCGCTGAACAGCGCTAAGCCACCGCCTATAGAAGGGTCCACCTTGGTGTCACTTGGACCGCCTGTAAGGACGGCCCCCGGATCCTCGAAAGTGACGTTTGGATGGGAATTGACCCCTGGTTCCGGGAGTTTGGCAATCCTGCTGTTGATCCTGTCTGGGAAAGGAGGATCGAGAACCTCTGGGCCATTCCCAGGACTGCCCAGCCCGAAAGGGTGGCCTCCACTCCCAGGAACCTCCGGCACAAAAGGACTGCCTGCGGAATTCCTGCTGGTGCCTTTTGTCCGGCCTTCTAGAGGGATGCGCGAGAATCTTGCGGTTGTCCTTCCCTTCTATAAGGTAAGGTTCTAGAACAGGACCGAACAGCTTTGTACCACTGTATGTGTCTGTTGATAGATGCCACTTGGATTTTAAGTCTGCCCTCCACTGTTTCAACCACAACAGCCTGCGGGATGAAACAGTGGCCGCAATAGATCTGGCGAAGTAACTGGCAGAATGGAGAGATGCATCTGCCATATATTCCGACGCAGCAACTAATTTGCCCGACGTCTGATGTACACGCACCTGGTCAGGAGGAATCAGGGCTTGTAGTTCGCGAAGCCACATAATGGACACCCTTGCGAAAAAAGACGAAGACGTTGCCGCCTTGATAAGAGGCCTGGTGAGCTCTGCGGAGAGAAAACTCAAACCTTTTGTCCTCTGCCTTTAGGGCCTCAGCCATATCTCCCGGAATTGTGGATGAGGAGAACAACGAAGTGAGAGGAGTATCTACAGTAGGCACCTCTAGAAGGGAAGCAAATGAAGAAGAAACATTAAAGAGTTTCTTTTCTGTACTATTAGGAGAAGGCAGAGTGGCTAATGAGGACCACTGTTTCTCCACAGTGGTACGGAAGACACTTGGACATGGAATTTGTTTCTCCTCCACCACTTGTTCAGCAAACAAAGGATTAGATTCTTGTGCAGTGGAAGTAGATGGTTTAGGCTCCTGTTCAGCAGCCAATTTTGCGTAGTACGGGCCTTCATAAGTACAGTCAGGTCCAGAAATATGAGGACATCGACACAATTCAAACATCTTTGGCTCTATACACCACCACAATGGAGTTGGAATGAAACAAACACAATGTGCTTTAACTGCAGACTGTCAGCTTTAATTTGAGGGTATGTACATCCAACTCAGGTGAATGGGGTAGGACTTACAGCAGTTTGCATATGTGCCTCTGACTTGTTAAGGGACCAAAGGTAATGGGACAGAATAATCATAAATCAAACTTTCCCTTCTTAATACTTGGTTGCAAATCCTTTGCAGTCTATCACAGCCTGAAGTCTGGAACGCGTAGACATCACCAGACGCTGGGTTTCATCTCTGGTGATGCTCTGCCAGGCCTCTACTGCAACTGTCTTCAGTTCCTGCTTGTTCTTGGGGCATTTTCCCTTCAGTTTTGTCTTCAGCAAGTGAAATGCATGCTCAATGGGATTCAGGTCAGGTGATTGACTTGGCCATTGCATAACATTCCACTTCTGTCCCTTCACAAACTCCTTGGTTGCTTTTGCAGTATGCTTTGGGTCATTGTCCATCTGCACTGTGAAGCGCCGTCCAATGAGTTCTGCAGCATTTGGCTGAATGTGAGCAGATAATATTGCCCGAAACACTTCAGAATTCATCCTGCTGCTTTTGTCAGCAGTCACATCATCAATAAATACAAGAGAACCAGTTCCATTGGCAGCCATACATGCCCACGCCATGACACTACCACCACCATGCTTCACTGATGAGGTGGTATGCTTAGGATCATGAGCAGTTCCTTCTCCATACTCTTCCCATCACTCTGGTACAAGTTGATCTTGGTCTCATCTGTCCATAGGATCTTGTTCCAGAACTGTGAAGGCTTTGTTAGATGTTGTTTGGCAAACTCTAATCTGGCCTTCCTGTTTTTGAGGCTCACCAATGGTTTACATCTTGTGGTGAACCCCTGTATTCACTCTGGTGAAGTCTTCTCTTGATTGTTGACTTTGACACACATACACCTACCTCCTGGAGAGTGTTCTTGATCTGGCCAACTGTTGTGAAGGGTGTTTTCTTCACCAGGGAAAG